TATGCCAGAGAACAGTGGTTTGGCTCTGTCTGTTCACACTCCGCAGCTCTGGGAATAACCACATTCTCAGGGGGCTGCATCTGGTACAGGTGTGTATAGAACACACGTGCAATCACGGTCTGATTTCTCCGTCTGTGTTAATTGGCATAATCTTGTAAGCTTGTCTCCTTATTTTTTTTTCTCTGATTTTTCAAGACAGGGTTTCTTTGCAGCTTTGGAGCCTATCCTGGAACTAGCTCTTGTGGACCAGGCTGACCTCAAACTCACAGAGATCCGCCTGCCTCTGCCTCCTGAGTGCTGGGATTAAAGGCATGTGGCACCAAATGAGCCCAATTATGGTGACGAACTTAGTGACTCCAGATGAATTCTCACCATATCCTACATGATTTAAATATGTGTTCCTCAGGAAGAATGATGACAGACCAAACCCTGTCATGCTGAATTCCACGGGGTCACCGTTTATCATCATGGGCTCCTGTGGGAGTCAACCTCTTGGGCTTGAGGAAGTCAAAGACCAAGGTTGGAAGGCCCAGGAAGGATGGGAGGCAAGCCTGGCATGCCTCTCTCCATAGCTCTAGCTGGTGGAGCACAAGCAGTTGCTTAGTGAGGTCCAGGACTGGCTGCCATGGACCATGCCATGCGTGTCTCATTTAAGCCCATCCTCACGACAGCTCAGCCCACCGGGCACTGCATTGAACATGGCAGCTCATCCATCCTCCCACATGAGGGGAAGAGGACAGGTCAAGGTTCTAAAAGGGCAGCACATCAGCGTCCCTTCTGAGCCAGGGTCTCTGATTCACCGACAGGCCAGATGGTAAACCCTCTGGGTAGCCATTTTGCCTCCTCTCTGCTAGTCAGCCAGTGTCACAGCCTCTCGTAAAATGGTCACTTTTCCTAGTGAGGCTTGCTTAGGACATCACCGTCAGTTCCTTAGTGTCTAAACCGGGGTCTTAGAGTCGGAGGACGGAGTTAAAGTTTCTCTCTGCACAACCGTGACTGGGTTGAGATGTCTTGCCAAGGTACCAGGTCTTCTTGTCTTACCCACTGGCCCCTGGCTTCATGATTCTGTAGCTGAACCTTACAGGTGGGGACTGAGGCTCTTCTGTCTTGCCATGCCAGCATGTACTAACAGCCATCACCTAGAAAGGTCTCTCTCTCCTGCACTCTGCTTACCGCATGGCCATTCCCTCCAGATCAGGAACACCCACATCCCTCCATCTCAAAACACTTCCCTTCGTCTTCCTAGTGCTCCTAACTCAGCAGCTAGATTTGTGCCCCTGTGGTAGCATACTCAAGACAATCAACTGATAAAAAGAAATTAGTTTTATTTTGACCCATGGTTTCAGAAGTCCATGCCCGTGGGCCCCATTGCCCTGAGCCTGTAGCGGCACAGCGCTCCATGGTGGAAATACGTGGTAGAAAAGGTTACTTTCCTCAAGGTGGCCGTAAAGATAGGAATGAACTAGAGTCCTAAGTTCCCTCAAGGAACACTCATACAACGTCCTACATCCTCCCGCTAAGCCCTGCATTTGGAAGGTTCCACCATGATCAGTATTGGCAAGAGCAGGAACCAGGAAGCCCTGAGCCCATGGGTATTAGGGTGGCAGTCTGGATTCAGAGTGTCTAGGATGGAACGTGGTGCATCTCTCTGTCCCCCAGCACATAACGCACTCCCCAATTCACTCCAGAGCACTGGATGTTTGTTCCCACTAGATTCAAATTGCCCTTGCTTAGTTTTAAGAAGTTTTTTTTTAACATTTCCTAATTTATACATCTCCATTCCATAGACCCCAATCTTGACTGTTGCTACATCATACCCAGATCTACTGTTCTGAGGTTTAAGTTTACTATAGCAGGAACTTATTGCTTCATATTTCTTGTTCCCATTACCAGTGTTCAGAGTTCTCCCGTGGAAGAGAATAAACCTTTAGTGTTAAGCAGGGGTTTCATGTGTATCTGCATTTGACATGTAGCAGATAGGTGGTTGGAACTGCATGTGATGTCAGGTCCAAGCCTGGCTCCAGCATCTCTTAGAAGCAAAGACAGCTGTTTGCCTCCTCCATGGCTTCCAGCTCCATGGCCTCAGTACCTCCTCTCTCAATAGTAACACTTTCCCTGCATCTCCTTCCCAGGAAGTCTGTAGAGTCTTTGGACTACTGCAGACCCCCGCAGACCTGGAGCCTCTGTGCAGTGTTCTTGGGGCCTCATAAGTCTATGCTGGTGAAGTCCTTGCTGTCCGTGGGGCATTTCCTTGTAAGCTATAGGAACTTCCCACCAGACTCCCAACTATCTGACGTAGTCAGCACCATTTTCTAGGCTCGTGTGGTTTTTCTAGATATTTCTGGGCGATCATGATGTTGCTCACCAGAGAATGTGACCAGGAACAGTAGACACAGGCCTTGACCCAGTCTGCCTTCTCCATATGGACTAGTATAGTTCCTTCACGTCAGTACCTAAAACCTGCACTGGAAAATCTGGAACATTGGAGCCAGGGACTCTTGGAGTCATTTACTTCAATCAGATTGCGAGGATGTGTGTGATGAAAAGTACCATCGAACCCATCACTGTCGGTTGTCAGCCAGTGCCAGTCCGCCGCAGAGGCCAGCTGTGGGCTTTCACAGAGAAACACACCCATAGACGTGCTCAGGCATAATGAGCACCATCACCCATCCTTGTGATCTTCCTGGAAATAACACTTTGAAGCCTGAGATGTGAATGCACTAATAATCCAGCTTCAAACGGCACCCGCTCAAAACTTTTGTTCTGGGAACATTGATACAACACAGGCTGAGCTGGTACCTCGGTTCTGGGGACTTCTGAGTGACCGTTGAGTTCACTGAAAGCCACCTTAGTGACTCAGTGTGCTGGCACAGTGTGTCAGCTAGGATGAGATGAAGATCCTAACCAGGGGTCAGTTCTGGCATGGATTCTGGGCATTGCCATCCATGGCATAGAGCCAGAACTAGGGGTCAGTTCACACATCAGGAAAGCAGTGGCTTTGATTTCAGGGCCACAGCAGAGAGTGGGTTGGTTACGGTTGAAGGCAGGGAGAGTGTTGCTCTTCTGTGCATGAGGCCCTAGTTACCCATGGTGGGTACCCTATGGGGGCACATTGCTGCCTTGTGCTCTGAGGCCTGGGTCCCAGCATGACTATGTGTACACAGCATTGTGTTCCTAGGCACCATGGAGTTCTTGTTTGTGCTCAAGTTGAGGGGCCCCTTTCCTGTAGGGGAGCATCTTGGCCCCAGTTTGAGTATTGAAAAAGAAAATGCTAGCAACATAGGCTCTGTGTGAGTGTGCGTGTGTGTGTGTGTGTGTGTGTGTGTGTGTGTGTGTGTGTGAATGAGTGAATGAGTCTTTATGTGCATGAGTGTGAATGCAGAGAGGAACACACATGGTGAGCAGAGAACATGCCTAGTGTGGGTCCCCACCCCTCCACCGTGCTGGAGACAGGTCCCTGCTGTTCTCTGCCATGTGTGCCGGGTTAGCTGGCCCATGCGATTCCCATCTCCACCACCCACCTGTATTTCTGTGGGATTAAAGATATGTGTGCTACTGTTTCCAGCTTTTATTTGGGCTGTGGGATTTGAACTCGGGCTGTGGAACTTACACACAAACGCTTTACCCTCTCTGCGGAGCTCACCTAGGATAGACTTCCACAGCTTTGCCATTCATTCTGCTTGTGATCAGCGGGTCAGGGCCACAGCCTAGGATGGCTCCTAGCTCCTGGATTCTGGGCTGGACGTTGAGGCTGAAATAGGTTATGTTTTTGATTTGGGCTTTTCACGTGGGAGTTTCTGCTGGCTGTGTCAGGATAAAGGGGGCACTGCCCCTACTAAGGGCATCATATACACGTGTGGACTGCTTCCATGTGACTTTTAGCTTCTGTTGTTAGACACTTTGCACACTGGGATGCTTCCTTTGCATCACATGGGTTCCATGGGGCATTCTGCACCCCACTGTGTATCTGCCTGCACAGATATCACTATGTCATTGTACTTCTGTGTATGTGTCTGGATACATGCTGAGGTCACGCTCCAAGTGTGTGGGGTCACCATGCCTGTATACCCTAACATTGTGTTTACATGGACACAGAAGTTACCATGCCCTTGGTACCCTCTTATATATGTCTAGATGCATACAAAGGTTACCATGACTGCATATCCCAATGTATATGACAGAGTGATGCAGAAATTACCATGTCTGTGCATTCCAAACTCCATCTGGGTATACACCCAGGTCACCATGTCCTCTTACCCTATGTGTACCTGGGGCAAGTGGATGCCATTGTGCCTTGTGGACCCTATAGTCAGCCAAAGAGTCAAACTTTGGACTCTCTCCCTGCTCCCCAGGGATATCTTTGACTTTATTAGAGTTCTGGGAATGGTGGTGGTGTGTGTGTGTGTGTGTGTGTGTGTGTGGTTAACTCTGGACTGTAAGCAGTAATCAGTCTTCCTACACTTAAATCTATTCTATAGGTGCTGTGTCTTCCCAGAGTATTCAATACCCAGATACCATGGTCCTAAGCATCTCTGTCCATTCTAGAGAAGCAACAACTATGGTGTTACTTATGGAGGAGTCAGTATCAGTGGATTTTCGTGTCTTCGTATCATACTGAGATATGATATACTTTCTGTATCTGAAGATCATCGCAGCTATAACTCTAATAGGACTGTAGTCAGACGCTTAGCTATTGAGAATGGTAACACCACCATTCCCATTTCATCTAAGTAGTCTAAAAGTGTTGAGCGCTGCAGTTATGAAAACCTATTAGATGTGCACTTATGCCTCTGACGAAGAGGTTGTTATCTAATAAAGTATAATGTTCAAGGCATTTGCAAGTCTGGGCTTTAGATGGAACTTGCTGAACCGCGAGGTCAGAGCAGCTCTGGGCTAAGATCTCGGGGACTCTGGGCCGCGGGGGTACAGTTGTGTGAGGCTGCTGGAGCAGTCTGAAGTCACAGTCCTGGCTAACCCTTCTCTCTCTCTCCTCTCCACAGAGTCTCAGTGCACCCTTTGTGGCGAGCCAGAAGGTGAGTACCTCACTTGCTGCTCTAGCGGGCAGAGCACCATAGCGTCTCATGTGTTGGATTGCTGGTGAAAACCGCTGCACTGGTTGCGTTCGGCTGTTTTGAAGCTGAAAGTATACTTTGTGGTAATGATGGGAAACATGAGTGGTAGGCGGGAGTTCCTCACTGATAAGAAATCAGCATGGCGACCCGCTGGCAATACCTTCTTTTCTGTATTGTACTTAGACATCATAGACAGTTTTCTCCAGATCATAGATGCTGATATGCATTTGCTAGCTTTAGCAGTATGACCCAAAGGTTCTGATGAAGGGGACATTAAATGAGGCTTTGTGAAATTATTCCTAACTGCTAGTGACCGAACCCGAGGGGATGTGCTAGTGACAAGAAGCTGTCCATCCTACCAGAAATATCAGCTGAGCCCTACAGTTGAGACATCTGAGAGTGGAGCTCCTGGCTCCTTGCTAAACCACGTTTCAGAATGGAGGAAGCACAATTACATAGTGTTTCGGTGCTGTGAGGAAGAAGGAAGAAAATGTGGTAGCCGCCTTGCCCCTGTTTCCGGGGACTCTTGAAGCTGGGTTCTGATTTTGTGTTTTAAAGAGGGATACTGCCTTGGGATCAGAGTCCAGCCCCTATTCCCTCTCCCAGTCCAGGAACCTTGGGCATCAAAAGACTTCAATGCCTTGTAGATCAGCTGAACAGCTTCCCTTGCAAAACACAAGACAGCAACTACAAAGCTGATCCAAAAGTTCTAACTGGTAGGCGACGATTCCTTCAGTCGGGTGGCAAAGGCGTGTTTTGACAAAGTTTTCCAAATTCTTTTTGCATCACTAACTGCACACCACAGATTCACCTGTGATAAAGTCTGGTCGTTTACATAAATCTCTGTCCCTGGTCTTTGCAGGATTAAGAGAAGTAGTATGTCCTTCAAAGGGATGGAGCCTGTGTCTTACGAATGCTGGGATACTGTGAGGATCTCAGATTGCTTTGGTCCTCGGGGCACTAGGAGTTTCATCATTTCTTATCATTGCAGCCTTTCTGTTACTCCCAGCCTGGGAGCGGTCTCTATGCTCTGGCTTCAAGGCCAGCATCTTTGTCCCCTTTCCCACTTTCTGTCGAAAGTTCCAGCGTGTTGTGCTGGAGTGCTAGAGAAGATATGAAGTATACCTCCTATGTCACCACCGTAGCAGGTTCAAACAAGTTCCGTCTGCCTTTTCTAGTAACACCAGTGTCCTGTCTATCGAGGATAGCGCACTGTGTGTGGTGTGCTATCCCCAAGGGAATCTTCCAGTTTCAGTACAGCATGCTTTGGAGGTTGGGTGAGGGATGGTCATGGCTGGCAGAGTGGTTGTCAAGAAGGGATCTAGATTTCCCAGGACAATGGGTACCGTGTCTAAGAAGGACCCCGGGCTACATGACAAGAGTTGGTGTCCCTACCCCCAGGAATGTTAGATGGTGGTCCCCATCTCATCCTAGACACTCACGGGTTCCTCTCCATGCCTCTTCTTGTTTAACTTCCCCAGCACAAATTCTGTCAGCACATGCACAGTGTGTGTCGCTCTAGGATGTATCAACTTGCAAATATTCCAGAGAGCCAGGCTGGACCTCATGTAAGAGTAGCCCCAGCTGTCCAAGCGGAGAAGCCTGGACGGTTAGGAGCGACCCCCACCTCAGCTGGAGGTCCTTGTCTGTGTCTCAGTGAAACTGGCTGCTCCTGCCTTCCTGACCAGACTTCTCCAAGGCCCTCCCAGGGCTTGATTCACTTGTACAAGTGAAACTGTTCCAAAGGAGAGCAAGGGAGGAGGGGCTGCCTGGGCTCAGCTGCGCTTTGTTTTCCAGAAGCACCAGCAAATGAATATTCATAGGTTTTTAAATCATTTAAGTAATTAGTCTAAGTGAGAGCTGGCCGGGTGCAGTGAGTAGAATCTAGGATCAGCTTTTTTCGTTGTTTGGTAATTTCGTTGGTGGCATCTATGCCTTAACTTATAAATGCCATCACACAGAAGGGGCCCTGAGTCAGAGGACTCTGCAGTACAAGGCTCAAAGATGGGCGTGCCTCCTTGAAAGGACTGGCTAGAAACTCGCCAGAGGTAGCTTCTCCCTCCCGTCAGAAAGCTGTTAAAGCCCTTCCTGGCTAACCAGTGAAGTGGGAAACACCTATTTGCATTTTAATGGTTCGTTCTTTCAGAGAGAGCTGTTTCTTCTTAGGAAAGGAATAATTAGCATCATCTCAGAAGGTAGTATCTGTCAAACAAATGAGACTGGGAGCAAAGTTGATGGAGAGGTCTCCGGATTCTCCCACTGCGAGTCCCTGTAATGACTAAGCCAGATTTTTTAGAGGACCCAACATGTTAATCATATGCGAAATGTAGATCAAGGCTTCAATATGCAAATTGCCTGCATGGCCTATATTATGAAGCCCTGAATCTTGGGGGCTGGGTATTTAGTGAGGTGGATATGTATGGATCCGCTGTTTGTCACCCTCTCACTGGCAAGAACAGAGAGGTGGTTCCTCGGTGAGCCCTGGAAGTGCAGGGCAACCTGAGGGCTGGGTTATAGCAGGCTGGGTCCCTTGGCGCTGTCAGGAGGTGGTGGCTACAGTGTGTTCCCATAGAGACCTCTCCTGACAGGAGTGAGCACATTCAGGACAGGGGCGATGTCAGTGACTCATCAACCTTATGCTCAAACTGTCTCAATTGCCTTTTTGACCGCTCGTTAACTCGTCTTGACATTTTAAAATCTATGTGTGGCATAATCTGTCATTTTAACATGGGAAAAATAAGAGTATATATCCCTTTTCAAACTTTACTGATGGATGTGTGTTAACGTTTTCTTTTAGCAAGAGCACGGTATACACACACACACACACACACACACACACACACACACACACACATATATATGCTGGAAGGTGCTGTAAGTGCACGGGTTCATGGATTTGTCTGTTTCCAGTTTTTTGGTTTGACGTGAGAATACAGATCATGATGGGCCAGGAGAGCTTGTCAGATCCACTGTGATGCGCTAGAGGTTTCTTTAGCTCACACCATGTAACCCAATTAAAAAGGAAACCAAACTATTAGGAAGTACCTTCCATGCAGACAGAGTCTACAAAGAACCAGCATGCATTTTAGTCCAGAGCATTCTCCAACAAGAGCCCTTGAGTGTGTGACTTAAAGATGCAGAGGCTATTGGTGGTCATGCAAGTCTACATTTTGGTAACGTTCTTTGTAGAGATTTCAGCCCAGAGGAAAAAATTTAAGTTTTAGAGTAATCTCTAAAATCATATGTGAAAATGTTTTCTGATTTTATTGTTTATTATGATGATGATGCTGACGTTGATCATTCAAACACACTAAAGTACATGTTACTCTGAGAATTGTGTTCAGACATATAGACTATTTCGTTTCTGCTTTCCTACCTTCATACAGCATGACTAAGAAGCAATGTACCTAGGAGCATTGTGCGCTTGGTTTTTTGGTACAAGAAATTCAAGATTTTCCCCATAAGTGACTCTGAACAATGGAAAATCTCCCCACTGCTCTTCACCCTCAATGAATGGGTGTCATCCATCCTGGGGTTCCAAGACTTCTAAACAATGGGATAATGAGTCAGGTGCTTCCTGATAAATGGACACGGAAGCATTTCTGTCCCACCCACAGCCCATCCTGCCTCACTAGACAGAGGAGGTCATGATGGCTGTCTGTATGCCCTCTTGAAGGGTGTACCTTTTAATTCTGTGCTTTGGATAACAGTGGCCTTTCTTGACTGCCGTTCTTGGGCAGTGAATAGAAGATAACCAGCTTTTAAGTTCTCAACATGAGCCAGGCACTCCAGAGGAATCCGCGTTGCCTAGGAACTGAGGCCTCTGCCAGCCAGCCCATCTTCCAGGGACATGGGGTGGTTCCTGTAGTTCAGTGCAAACCTGAGGGACCCTGCTGGGGTGGGGGTGGGTATAAAAGTTTGTGCTGGAGGAGGAGATCAGGACATAGGAAAGAAAACTTAGTCTGCTGCAGAAGGTCTGTTTTCTTGATCAAGGCCCAGAAAGGTGCTTTAGAGCACATAGCAGAAATCCTTTCAATGCAGCAACAACCGAGAGATGGGGGGACACAGAGAGACAGAGACAGACAATGACACATGTGTGCACACTGCACACACACACACGCACACACACACACACACACACACACACACACACACACACACAGTGTGGGGGATAAACATGAGCTGAGTTTGAGCGGTGAGGGTGTAGTTCTGACCACATGAGCAAATAGATGTATGACCTGTGCCCTATAACACGGAGTGGTAGAGGCATGGAGATGAACCCCCTCTAAGTAAACCTAGACATTCAGAAGTTTCCCCACCACCGAGGAAAGAGCTATAAAACACTGGCCAAGGATGGATTGACATCATGAATTACGTACCCGAAGCTGTGGACAGAACACGTTATTCACCGTAAGTGGATGTCTGAGGCATAAATACAACCTTGGTGCTCCCACCCATGTGCTGAGTAAGGAAGAGAAGTAGGGTGAAGTTAGTGTGAGAGTGTTTCAACTCTGCCAGGACTCAAGTGCTCTGGAACAAACCCACAGCCCTTTCTCTACCAGCAAACCGCTCCCACCTGAAGTAAGCAGAGGAGAGCATTGCAAACCAGGTGAACACACTTCAAGGGAGTAAAGAGACAACAGCAGAAAAATCAACCCGAGTGTTGGAAACAGACTGGTGCAGGCATTGGGTGTGTCTGAAAACACTAAGTAGGTGTTCAGAAGGAAAGGAACCCCGGTATAGGAGTGGGTAGTATAAAATGGTTATGAAATGAAATAGTGAAAAATGAACTCAGTCTTCTAGTTTGACTCCAGAGTGGGGGAGGGGGGGACTGTGAAGTGGGATAGGTGGAGCTGAAGGGAGAATTAATAAACTAGAAAACAGGTGTGAGCGTGTTGTCACGTGCGCTGCGTGGAAAGTAACAAGGGTAATATAAGAATGCATGAGAGATGACTACGGAA